TGTTTCTACCAAGTATTGAATGAGAGGGCCTGTGTACAAACGCACAGCACAGTTTTCAGAGTTTTTATGTCAAACTTTTTTTTTATTGACCTTTCATAACTTACAGATACTAAACAGCAAAAGAGTTTAGCTTCTAGTGCTGTGACTGACATCCCACCTTGCTCCTATACTAAAGAAAGCTCATATATCAGCCCTCATCGACGATGTCCTGGAGAGACTTCTATTGTCTCACCTTATAAAGCAAGCAAGCATCTTTCAGGATCCCCTGCAGTTTGCTTATCGTCAGCATGTTGGAGCTAAAGATTCCATCATACACCTGCTACAACAAACCAGCTGTCATCTTGACAAAGCAGGTAGCACTGTCAGGATCATGTTCTTTGATTTCTCTAGTGTATTTGACACAATATAGCCTGATTTCCTATGTCAGAAACTGTAGAACACACAGTTGGAGCCCTCCACATATTCATTTTTTCTATTTTGTTTTTCAGACCAAAAGATGGTTGTGTAGTAAAATCTCAGTCGATTGACAGGTTCTAAAATACTCAGACTATCCCGTCTAGCACCAACTATGCCATGTTACATGCGTCTCCAAGGATAGGGAGAAAGAAGGCAAGTGAGCGAGCTTTATATCTACTGCTGAAAAGTGGATATTATTAAACTGTGACCTTTTGGTGTTAAAACTACGTTTTTGTTAGTGCAGTTTGTGGCTAAAATTCAATATCTTTATCCGTAGTACAGAAGTCATGGCGCTAAACAAGAGTGAAGTTTCTGTTTTGTCTGCTGGGGTAATTCTTTTTTCTTTGCACTGTGAGTATTTTACAGACTGTGCACCACCATTCATAGCTCAAGGGGACAAATCTGGCTGTTCCTGCTGCACCATCTAAAAAGTTTTATAGAGGTGGCCAAGCAGGGATTATTACTCTGATTGATGTAGCACAAAAACAGATATCTTAGATTTATTTCCTTTGTGGCACATAGCTGTTGGGTGTATAGTTAGTTTGTTTGACCTCTATTTTTTTAAAGGCAGCCATGACAGCAGCTAGGAGTGCAATGTTTTTAAACCTGACAATTTGTCAGATGAGGTCAAGATCAGTTTAATTAGACAGACCCAGACCTTTTCTAAAGAGTCAATGAAGAAACCCATTTGGTCCTATTAAGTAAAGTTGCAGGGCTGGAGCCAATGGTGAGAGGTGCGGTATACCCCGTACAACTTTCCCAGAGGGACAACAGATATGTTCTCAGTTACCAATCAACCTAGAGAGTACTCTGTAGGGAAAACACAAAAAACCTGAGGCTAAACCATCCGAGAACATGCAAACTCTACACATCTATGCCTTCCTCAAGATTCAGTCTGGTGAACACAGCGAACAAGCAGGTGACTGTGTAGTATTATGGCCTGCATGCAAAACACAGGATGTGGGGGAAACTAACAGTAAACAACACCCTTAACACACTATTCCCCAAACTAATGGCAGCATCATGCTGTAAGGACGCTTTTCGTCAGCAGTGAGAGGGAAGTTTATCAAAGCTGATGAAAGGATGATAGAAGAAACATTTTAAAGGCTTCAAAAGTCATGAGCACGCAGATAATCTAATGAAGTGACAGGAGCAGAAGCAGATTTACGTCAAACATTTGCAGATTAATTTACATGTCTAACCCTTGAGGCCCGAAGTTTAACACCCCTGATTTAGATCAAAGCATATCCATGCATTTGAATTGTCCAGTTAAATACATAACTATCTAAATCTGGTTCAGAAATGAAAACTGTTGTTCACAGACACTTTTTGACTAAAAATACAAAACTTTTCAGATATTTATCAATAAAAATTCTGAAATCAGTGTGAAAGAGTTCAAGGGGCATTAATACTTTCTCAAGGACGTGTATGTCAGGAATGTGTTCTCAGAATCTTCATGAATAGTTGAACTTTATTTGAGCTATCACACGCCAATCTTTAATTATTTCTTGGATCAGATTGCATGTTCCAACTTCTGCTTCTTGTACCCATAAATGGACCTGTGGTTATCACACTCATCCACAGTTCCATGTCTAAATGCAACAAGTGGAAACAAAAAGAGCTGGGGAAAGAATCTGACCAAAATTTGTTTAATTTTTCAATTTGCAATATTGGAAAGCTAGTTTAATCAGATTCAATTCAATTCAACTCAATTCAATTTATTTATATAGCGCAAATTCACAACACATGTCGTCTCAAGGCACTTCACAAAAGTCAGGTACATACATTCCAATTAATCTTAATCATTGAACAGTGCAGTCAAATTCTGTTATTTATTCAAATTTGGTAAAAAAGTTTTTCTTTTTAAAGGGAAAAACCCAGCAGATTGCATCCAGTCAGTGACTTGCAGCATTCATCCCCCCGGATGAACATGTAAGGACAGTGGACAGTCACTGGCGTTGACTTTGCAGCAATCCCTCATATTGAGCATGCATTGTAGCGACAGTGGAGAGGAAAAACTCCCTTTTTTAAACAGGAAGAAACCTCCAGCAAAAAACAGGCTCAGTGTGCGGCCCCAATTGCCACGCCCGACTGGGGGTTAGAGAGAACAGAGCAGAGACACAAAGAGAACAGAGAAGCACTGATCCAGGAGTATTTTCTAGGGAAGGAAAAAGTAAATGTAGTGGATGTAGCTCCTTTTAGTCGTTTCACCTAAAAAGAAGGAACAGATAAACTCTGAGCCAGTTTTCAAGTTTAGAGTCTGAAGAGAGCACATAGAGTTAGTTACAGTAAAAACTCAGTCAGTAGCTATGTCTAGGAGAGAGAAAGGGGTTTAAACACTGAAAGACAGGGACATGTGGATCATCGGTAGAGGGTGAGCATTAAGTTGTTGCCAGCAGAAGCTTGGAGGATTCCCTCCCGAAAGGGGTTACAGGTAGACACAGAGTCAGGCCAGGTGTAGCTTCTAGGAAGAGAAAAGAGAGAGAACAAAGTTAAAAACTGAAATAAAGGCAAATATTGCAAAATTGAAGAGTAGTGTGAGAAAGTAGTGAAGAGGGTGAAAGTGGTCATTATATCCTCCAGCAGCCTAAGCCTATAGCAGCATAACTACAGAGATAACTCAGGATAACCTAAGCCACTCTAACTATAAGCTTTATCAAAAAGGAAAGTTTTAAGCCTAGCCTTAAAAGTAGACAGTTTGTCCATCTAGAGCCCACTGATGGCCATTGTTATACTAAAAACCACAACGATTGGGATACCTCTCTCTGTCAGATTGACCATAACCATTGGAAAAGATATATGAGATAATATTGTAACCTGGTTGTAGTAAAATGCAGCATAACCTTCTAATACTTAAACTTATTTTCAATACATTTATCTGATGTTAGTGTATCATTTTCACATGAAATGTAACAAGTAAAACATTTTATAGTTTTACAAAGTTGTGATAAAATGTTCTAATTTTATGATTTATGCATTAACAGCATCTGTAGAGTCTGAACTAATTTAGAAAACAAAACTCAGGTTTCATTTCTGTTACCTTATTGTTGACCAATATATTATGATGAAAAAATATTACAAAAAATCATACAGTTACCATCTTAATCTCCATTTTTACTCTGAACAATACAAGAATAAGCATAAATCTTTCCTGACAGATGCTGAACTAAGAATGCTCAACTGAGCTGTTATGCTTCCACAGCACTGTAACCACAACAAAGAGGCAGACAGATAAAAAGAGCTACTGTGCTGTGCAGAAGTCATCCTTCTTTTCTTTACATTGTGCTCTCAACGAGTCAGACAGTATTATATATTTTTTAAGTGATTCGTAGCAGAATGTTTTCAAGCTTTCTGAAGGTCTTTTATATTTATTTAATAATGTTTTTCTTATCTCTTGAAATTACTTTTGTTAATCTCTGGTACATAGTCGCTACTTTAGACCTGACACTTCTTTTGTCCTCAACTTTTCCAATTTTTTTAAACCTACACTGGAGAATACATTACCTTGCAAAAGTTTTAATACTCCTTGAACATATTTTGTCACTTTACAGCCTCAGACTTAGGTTTCTTGGCCTTGATTTCTTTGGCCACCCAATAGCAATGAATAATCTGTTTCTAAAAGCATATGTCCTGGCAATTATTATCAGGTCTATCTAAAAAGCTCTTATTGTCACTTCTTATAAATGGAAATTGAACTGTGCTATCAATGAATCAGGCAGACTAGCAGCACTAATCAGAAGTGTCCAATGAACAAAAAAGATGGTGGGGGATGGAAGGGGGTTTGTAATGTACTATTAAGTGAAATAAAAGTGTTGTCTTTCTTCTTCTACAGACACACATGGTGGCAAATCTTTTACCCATTAACCATTCAATATTTAGTCATGTCACAACCACAAACTTCAATGTAACTCAGATTTGGTCCTAAAATCCCAATAATCCAATCCAATCCCCAAAAATTTTATAAATTTCTTTAAAAACAACAAAAAAGTTAAAAAATTCGAATAAAAAAAAAGAAAAAATCATAAAAAAGGCATAAAACAAAGTTTTGCCCCCAACGCTAAACCAAAACAACAAAAAAACCCGGGTGGTTGAAACTGGGGAAAAAAGGAGGAGTCTTCAAAAGTGATTTAAAAGAAGACAGTTTAGAATGTAGAAGCAGCCCGTTCCATAACTTAGGGGCCGCAACTGCAGGAGCTCAATCACCTCTAAGCTTCACCTTCCGCTCAGGAGTCACCTCGTAGCAGGTCCAAGAGATAAGGTGGAATAAGACTATTAAGACATTTAAAAACAAATTACAGAATTTTAAAATCTATTTTATAGTACGCAGTGAGCTAGTGAAGAGCAGCCAATACAGGAGTGATGGGCTCTCGCCTGTGTTATCAAGTTAAATGACGAGCAGCTGCAATTTGGACAGAGCTGAAGGCGAGAGAGTGGAGCCTGTCTAAAACCACAATACAACCAACTTGAGAATGCTCAGATACACTGAATGTGGTATAATGAAAAGGCCTAGTCCCTACATATTTGCTAAACTTGAGATTTTGCATGTGAGGATGGCCGAGCAGGCGAAGTCACCAGACTCAAGGCTTGACTCCTTACTCGCTTCAGAGGTATCTGGGCTCCGAATGGAGGCGTGGGTTCAAATCCCACTCCTGATATGGTTAATCCCATAAATTCTTAAACTTCAGACCAGAATAAATTTAATCCAGAAGGCATTTTAAAGATGTTTAATGGTATGCAAATGAAGAACTCCCTTTTTGTTTGCACACAGAACAATTCATTTTATTCCGCTTTCAACAAGCACATGGCAAGCTGGTTCACAGTAACACATGGTCGATGTTGTTTTTGGTCTGACGTAATTTTTTATAGACGTTTTTCATTCCAGGTTAGTATAGTTGCAAGAAAACTGTTTAATTAAGGACACAGGGTTAAACATTGCATCTATCTATCTATCTATCTATCTATCTATCTATCTATCTATCTATCTATCTATCTATCTATCTATCTATCTATCTATCTATCTATCTATCTATCTATCTATCTATCTATCTATCTATCTATCTATCTATCTATCTAAACATCTTCTAGATCAGCCCGGCTAGCTCAGTCGGTAGAGCTTGAGTCTCTTAATCTCAAGGTCAGGGGTTTGAGCCCCACATTGGGCGTTCCAGTTCTCTCTCACCCAACATGTTTGATTGATGCAGGCTTACCAATACTTGACATCCACTTAAACTTCAGTGGTTGTCTTGTCTCTCAAAACAATTTTGCATAAACACATGGAAATTAGTCTGACCTTTCAGAGACTTTTGCAAGGCTTGACTCCTTACTTGTTTCAGAGGGTTCTGGTCTCCGATGAAGGTGTAGATTCAAATACCACTCCTGACATGGTTAATCCCATAAATTCTTGACATCCGAGCAGAGCCTGAGCAGGCACTGAAACCAGGGAACAGAGATGTTGAACAAAACAGGCATGTGATCAGAGAACACAGCATCACAAATGTTATATATTGTCCACCGATAACCCCAATGATAAAACCAAGTAATGTGTGTGTACATGTTCATGTGTGGAGCATGCCACAAACTAGACAAGGTTAAAAGAGTCAATAACATTCAAAAAGTCTTTAGCCAGTGGCTTTTAATCGCGACAAGCATGGATGTTAAAATCACCAACAATTAAGATCGGATCATACAGTATTTAGTGATCACTCCAGTTAAGATATCAGACTTTATTATACTTAGGTGGTTGGTATATCACTGCACACAGGACCTGGTGAGAGCGACCCAACCCAAACATAATCAACTCAAAGCTGCAGAAAGTAATCGGTGCTGAGAATGCTCAGATGCTTGCAATTAAGAATGTTCCTAAAGACAAATGCTATTCCACCCCCGCGGCCTGATGTCCTCGGGGATAAAAGTTAGTGCATTCAAGTGGCAACAGCTCAAAGGAAATGCTGGACTTACCAACGCTCGACCAGGTTTCAGTCAGCAGGAAGAAGTGCAGGTTGTGGAATGTGAAGAAATCATTCAGGCTAAACATTTTTTTGATAGGGACTTAGCGTGCACCAGAGCCATTATAATAGGAGTGGTTAAGGAAATAACTGCAGGTAGGCTGGAGTGTAGGAAATCTAAGGAATCTAAGAATAATTCAAAACAATTTTGCGAGGACTATTTTGCAAAATGTTCAAGTGTGTTAGATACCACAGCAATATCTGAGCAACATTAGTCTCAGTTTGTCCTGAATCTATTTCCATTAAGTGTTCAAAAAGCACGAGAAATGAACAGGTGACAGAAAATGACATAGGAAATATATCAGTTTAGTGTAGGAGGAGCCACAGGCTTAAGAGAGACAAGAACAGAACAGAGCATGAAGAAACATGAAAGTAACTAGAAAAAGAAAAAACATTGCAAAAAACTGTTAAAATACACAACAAAAACAAAATTACATTTTATAAGATTTAAGTGCATTTATATCAGATTTAAGTGCAAACTTTAACTAGGCCAATCTAAAATCTTTTTTTTTTATTTAATTTAATTTTTCCCCTTCTATGAACTGCCACCTTAACTAGCTGTAGAGGTTTTATTGCTGGAATGATACCAGAGGCTATGTTGCAAAATGCCCCTGTTAGGGTCTCTCATGGCAAACAAACTCTGGGTTATGCGACAGACAAAAGGTGGTTCAGAAGCCTTCATGGAGACTAAGACAACAAGGCAAGAGACATTGTCTGGTATGGTGGAGCCAGGGCCCCGTCCTGCAGCCATGCCTGGGTTTGGAGCTCGTGAGCTAGTGCCCGATTGCCAGCTCACATCTTTCGCGACCCAACCGTGTCAAGCTCGAACAAGTGACGCAAGGCCGTCCCACAGTGGGCCCACCCCCAAAGGGGGAACTATGAGGGATTTGTGCTGAGAGGATAGGGTAATGGTCAAAGGTGGCGGCCTCGACGACTTGGTCTCTGGGCGCTTAGACTGGTTCTGGGGACGTGGACTGTCACCTCACTTGGGAGAAAGGAGCTCAAGTTTGTGCAGAAGGTCGAGAGATAAAAGTAGTTGGTCACACATCCATGCAAAGCCTGGGCTCTGCAACTCAGCTACTCTTTTACTCTGGAGTGGCCCACAGGGAGAGGTGGCAGGCTGGGGTGGGTTTGCTTGTCGCCTCCCAGGCTAAACCCTCATACGCTGGGGTTTACCTTGGTGAATGGGTCTCATCCCTGCACCTTCAGGTCAGGGAGAAGTCTCTGACTGGCAGGAGGTTCCACGCTCTGGGATTCCATCAGTCAGCTAAGGGACTTTAATGCCCATGTGGGTTGCGACAATGATTGGAAGGAATGGCACTCCCGATCTGATCCCGAGTGGTGTTTCGTTATTGGACTTCTGTGCTAGTCATGGATTCTCCATTGTTTGGGAACCAGTGGATTTCGTCTTTGCTGTTTGCAGATGATGTGGTTCTTCTGGCTTCCTCTGGCCAGGGCGCTTCGCAGTTGACTCCAAACCAGCGGGGATGAGGACCAGTTCTTCCAAGTCCGATGCCATGGATTTGTTGTAGAAAAATTTGCATCCAGAGACTGATGATTGTCACTCAGAATCAGCTTTATTAGAATCTTGCAAGAGAGAAGGATTTTACAGCATTGGAGATGTGCTCAGTAGTGCTGTCCAAATCATTCTGACTAGACAAAGTAAAATTGTCTCCTATAAGCTAGAAACAGTTTTCAAGGAGGACTCTCATGAGGACTGTTGTCCCAGACATAACTTAAACAGGTTGGCATACATATTGTCTCACACAGCTGCAAGTAGAAGGCTGAGAAACCATTACTCTAAGACTAAAAACAGAGAAGAATAGAATAACACAGAGGGGTTCTAATACTTTTGTCAGTTCCTGTAGAGTATCAAGGAGCAAATCAAGCAAGGCACTAAAATTTCCATAACAATCCACCCTCTTCGATAATAATGAAACTAGTTTCATATGTTATCGAACACCTAAGAAAATTTTACTGAATGACAAAGAAAGAAAGTACAAGAAAATTTATTTCAAAAATGTGAACTGATTAGTAATAAAATGAATAATAAGAACGAATCAAAAATTTATTATATGAAATAAGTAGTATTAAAAATGAGCAGTAATAAAAATTTACTAAATAATATAAAATGTAATAATGAAACATTATTACAAAGCTAAAACACTACAACAAATCTATTAATATTGTCATCCTCTTTGTTGGAAAACATTTGTCATTCTGATGGAAACACAAAAACACCTCTTCAATACAACACTTTTAATAAATGATCAGATAAAAATGAATACACTAATAATATAAAGAATAAAAAATAAATGAAGAAAAATATAGTAGAATATATTAGTACACCAATAATATAGCAAAATTTAAATCATGAGTTGTATCATCTACCCTGTGTGTGTTCGGTAACACATCTACATCATTAGAATTAGGAAGTCATACCTGTAATAATAAAATCCTTCCATTTCAAAAGTGTCAGCAAACAGTCAGGTAAAGAATCTACACCAGAGTCTTCTGTCATGTGATGAGCCAGGGTGCGCAATTCATCTAGGGCTCTGGTGACTGAACCATCGGGGGCTGTATTATTTGGAATGGCACAAACACCTCCCTTTTCAGCTAACAACATGTCTAAGGCCATTCTGTTTTGCCAAGACATAAGAGAACTGGAGGATAATTGGTCAGTTACGCCTACCATTACATCTCTGGTAATGTTTGCTAAGCACTGTATATTATAGTGGACATAATTAATGCAATCAACATTTTTGTTAGCAGTAATCCAAAGAAATATTGATTCAAACCATGGCCTATAGTATTGGCTAATTAATATCATCTGGGACATCGCGGGGAACCCAATAGCATCAAAATAAGTGGGATTGTTATGTCTGAAAGAAAAGTCCACTGCACGTTTATGAGGAAAAATCGAGGATGGAGAAGTTGGCAGATGTCCAAGCAAAGCCACTGGTAGAGCTAATCTAACTAAAGTACATATTCCTGACCAAGAAGAAGGCAAAATAATTAAACAGTGTCTTTCACCACAAAACCAGAAGAGGTCAGCACGTCACTGTCATTCCTCCTGGTAAGAATGTAATTTTCCTGCTCTAGGAGTGAAAACAAGAGGGAAGGTGTGGTTGTTAGCAGGTGGGAAAAGGTCGCTCAAAGGGAACAATGTTTAGGTGAAGGAGTCATGTGTAGAGCTAACATGCAGTCAACCCAAGCGGTCTGTGTTATATATAACCAAGGAGCAGGATGTAGTGAAAAGTTGTGGTCTGGCTGAGAACAGGCAATACACTCTGTCATATTATTGGTTTTTTGCAGTAAATGTAATCCATTCTAACCAGATGTTTTTATCAGAAAATCCAGTTTCAACTTGTAACCATTACTTCAGGTGATGAAGACATTTAGTAAGTCACCAATGCTTGAGAAGTGTGGTTGGGCGAGGGGTGTTAACACCCAGAAATATTCTAGACTTTTCATCAGGAGCTTAGGCTGATCCACAAACTGAATCCGAAACCAATCCCTGTGGGTCTCTTCCAGAAACATCAGCTTCCTAAATCAAAACAAATTCATTAAGATCTGCACTTGTAGTAGTAGGCCAGGGATTTTTCCACATTCCCTGACAGTTATACACTATAGTGATTTTATACCTAGTG